TCCAGTAGCCGCGTTAGTCCCCCCCGGGCACCTCCGACAGGCCGATCTGGGCGAGGTCGTCGGCGAGGTGCGACAGGTACGCGGGCGTCGCGACGTCCGCGCGCGGCAGGTGCGGCAGGTGGCTCACCGTGGTGTCGAGGCTCGCGTCGACGTCGTCCCGGCGGATGACCGTGCTGCCGTCGGGCGCGCGCGCGAAGACGAGGTCCCGGTCGTCGTCGTCGTCGTCGCTGTCGCGCGGGTCCGCGGACACGGTGATGCCGAGCTGCGGCAGGTAGACGCGGCCCGGCGGCACGTCCGGCGGCGGCGGCGGGAACGACGACGGCGGCGGCGGCGGCGGCATGGCCGCCTCGTCGTCGTCGTCGTCGCCGACGGCGAAGCTCGGCGGGAACGACGGCGGCGGCGGCGGCGGCGCCGCCGCCGCGCCCAGGGCGTCGTCGTCGTCGGCCCTGGACGGCATGTAGACGCGCGTCGGCCGCTGCCAGGCCAGCGGCGGCGCGGGCTTGCAGGGCCGGCACTTGCGCACGTCCGGGTCGTCGTCGAAGGCCGCGGCGAAGGCCTCGGCGAAGGCCTCGGCGTCGCCCGCGCTCGCGAAGGCCTCGGCCTCGGAGAGGTCGCCGGCCGCGTCGAGGCCCTCGGTTGCCCCGGCGGGCAGCGCCGCGAGCAGATCGTCCTCGGGCTTCGCCGGATGCGCGTCGTGCTGGCGCCGCAGCTCGTCGATCTCGGCGATGACGGCGCCGTTGAGCGCCGCGAGGTCCTCGACGAGGCCGTCGTCGTCGAGGTCGAGGCCGAGGTCCGCGCTCCGCAGCGCGTCCGCGACCTGGCGCCGCGTCGCGACGCGGCGGCCGTCGACGTGGCGGCTCGCGAAGGCCGCGACGAGCGCCCGGTACTGGGCCGCGCGGAAGCCGTGTTGGCTTGCGAGGCGCAGGAAGAAGCCGCGCAGCGCGTCGTCGTCGACGTCGAGCACGCTGTCGGCGACGCGGTCGATGAGCACGTCGAACGGGTCGACGGCCGCCTCGTCGTCGCCGCCGTCGCTACCCGCCGCGTCCCAGTCGGCCATGAACGCCGCGTCCTCGTCCGTCCAGTCCAGCGCCTCGCCGTCGCCGAGGACGTCGATCGCCCCGGGCCGCGCGACGTCGATGCGGTCGGGCACGTCGTCGCCCTGCTCGAAGTCGAGCTTCGTCATTTTTTTTGCGTGCTGCGGCGCGCGCGGCTTCTTTTCGATCGGTGGCGGCGGCGCGCGCGCCGACGCGCGTTTGCGAGAGCGGGGGCGGTGCGATTCGCGTTTTGCGCTGCGCCTTACTCCTTACTCCATCGCCTTCCCTTGCGGCTTTTGCCTCAGGTATTTGCGGAACGTCAAGATCTTAAGAAGGAAGCCGGGCTTTGCTCCGCCAGTGGCGCCGGCCGCGCCCCGGCGTGCGCGGCAGGGTGGTACATCTTACTACAGGGAAATGGCGTTCCCCAGCCGTCACACCCACGTCGCGCCCAAAACCAAGGGGCGTATCCAACGCCATCGATGGTGGCGCGCACCGCCACCACGGACTTGTACGCCGCGGCAGCCCCGCGGGGACGAGGCCCGCGCGGTGGAATTTGGTCGACGCCAGAACCACCTCCGATGAGGGCACCGACGGTCAGGCTTACGCCTAGGGGTCATGGAAGGCCACTCCGACCACCAGAACGGGCTGCCGTGCGTCGGAAGCGCGGCCTCGGAGGTCTCCGTCCCCGGCCCGCGCGTACGTGTTTGGTACTCAAGCCAGCGAAACGGCTAGCCATTCGTCCCAATCCGAGCGCTTGTTTTTGTCACGTATAGCCACCGGGCGTCCCTGGCCGCACACCAATCCCCGGTAGTTTAGACGGGGGGTGCGTCGGCCATCGGACGCCGTCGCCGGAGCAAAGCCCGGCTTAAGAAGGTACTAGTATTCAAGCAAACGCGCTGCTCATTCCAGGTACGACCGATGGAGCTCGAGATGGAGCTCGAGGATGGCTACCAGCAGCAGGCGTCAACGTCGCGTCGCGGCCGTCCTATGGCCGCCGGGCAGCGGCGGCCCTCGTCGGGATCGTCGCCCTCTGCGGCGTCGCTGCGGCGTTCGCGCCGGCGACGGAAAGGCTGCCCCGACTCGCGTCGATCCCGGCGCAGCAGCGAAAGGAGCTGCGGGCGCGCGCCACGGCCTGGACGGGCGCCACGTCGGCGGCGAATGGCACCTGCGTCGAGGTGAAGGTGTCCCACTGGGGCCGCATCGTCCTCCAGCTCACGGACGACGCCACGCCGAAGACCGTCGCGAATTTCCTCGCGTACGTCGACTCGGGCTTCTACAACTCGACGATTTTTCACCGCGTCATCTCCAAGTTCATGATCCAGGGGGGTGCGGTCACCACCAAGTTCGTCGAGAAATCCACGCGCGCGGCGATCGTCGACGAGGCGGCCGCCGGCCTGCAAAACCTCGCGGGCACCGTCGCGATGGCGCGCTACTCCGCCGCGGACTCGGCCACCGACAGCTTCTACATCAACGTCGTCGACAACACGTATCTGGACTACAGCTCGACCTCCGACGGCTACTGCGCCTTCGGCGCCGTCGTCGCGGGCTTCGACGTCGCGGAGGACATCTCCAAGACGCCGACGCACACGTACGACGGCTGGTCCGACGTCCCCGTCGACGAGGTCGTCGTGTCGTCCATGGCGAGGACCGCGTGCCCCTAAAATGGAGGTCGCAATCGAACTTTGGGGTGTAGGTTGAACTTCATCTTGAACTCGTTGCCGCGCTCCTCGGTGGGCCTGCCTCGAGCAAGAACGGCCCTGTGCGTTGATGTTTGGTGTGTGGTTTGAGGCTGTTGAAAACGAGTGGTGTGTGGTTTGCAGGCATCGAAAATCGACGATCGGTGTGTGGTTTGGGGGCCACGAGTCGGCAGCAGCACGTTCGGCGCGCGTTCTCAGCCACAATGGTGTGTGGTTTGGGCTGCCAGCATTAGAGTGGTTTGTGGTGTGAGCTCGCCCAATCACATCACCGCACAGGGCCGTGCAAGAGCCTCCTCATCCCCTTCCATCGCCGCGCGCGCCGTCCGCGTCACACACCTTCGCGTCGAGCGCGTTTAAAACGCACAAGCATATATGAAGTTCTACTCCGTCGAGAACGAGCAACCGACGGAGCGCACGCTCCAGCAGGAAGCCAACCGTTTGGAGCACCTGCGGGCCAAGGCGGCGAAGCAGAAGAAGTACAGCCCGGCCTCGTGGTTTAGCGTCATCTTCAGCTACCGAGGCCGCGCGGCGCACCACATCCGGCACCCGCTCGCCTGGGTGCTGCTCGTGTCCGTCGTCGCCGCGCTCGTCAGCACGTCGCACGGCACGCGGAAGTGGACCGCGTGGCTGAAGCGCTTCGAGGCCGCCGAGGCGCTGCTGCGCATGGCGCTGTCGTTCCTGCTCGTCTTCCGCCTCGGCCGGAGCGCGACGCGCTACTGGGAGGTAGGTGTTCTTCTGCTTCTGCTTTTTTACCATGTTTTTTCTAGGCGCGTCAGAAGGCCGGCGCGATGATCGAGGTCTGTCGAACGTTGGCGTCGACGGCGCTGGCGCACATGGTCGTCGGCGGCGACCTCGACCGCGTGGAGCACCGGCTCCGGTGGCCCGCGAGCCCGCGCGCGGCCCGGGACGAGGCCAAGGACGAGCCGTGGATGTCGACGAGCTGCAGCCCCGCGTCGGCCGTCTGCCGCTGGGTCGTCGTCTTTCCCGTCGCTGCGAAGAACTACCTGCGAGCCGACCCGGGCGACGCCGCGGACCTCGAGGGCCTGCTGAGCGGGCCGGAGGTCGCGGCGCTCTTCGCGGCGCCGTGCCAGCCCCTCTTCGTCCTCGACACGATGCGATGTTTGGTCGTCGCGTGGGCCTCCGACGCCGTCGCCGCGGGCGGCCGGCCGGAGCTCGTCGCCATGAGTTTGCAGGCGCTCAATTCCAACGTCGACCGCCTCACGAGCACCTTCGGCGGCACAGATTCCGGCGTCCGACGCGTCCCGCGGACGTCCGAAACCCCCGTCGCGTCGCAGGCATGGAGCGCATCAACAACACGCCGCTGCCCTTCGTCTACGTCGCGCACCTCCGCACGTTCCTCCTCATCTACCTCACGCTGGTGCCCGTCGTCTTCTCGCCCGTCTGGCTCTGGGCGACGCCGCTGATGAGCTTCCTCGTCGCCTACGCGCTCCTCGGCATCGAGGCCGCGAGCGTCGAGTGCGAGCGGCCCGTCAGGGAATGCGCGAACCACATGCCCCTCGACGCGTTCGCCGCCGTCATCGCCGACAACGTCGGCCAGACCGTGCGCCACTCCGCGACGACGGCCCGGCGGCTCCGCGCGCGCGACGCCGCGGCGTAAGTTGTGGTGCAAAACGCGAGAGGAGCCGCAGTTCAACCGGAAAATTGGCCCGTATTTCGCGAGCTCCCTCGAGGCCTACCTAGGGCGCGCGCTTGTACGGCGTCGGGGGCAAGTTGCAGTGCACTCCTTGAAGGTGCCGCAATCCGGGCGCGATGGTCGAGAGCATGCTCCTCCTCGTAGCATTGGCGACGGCCGCCAATGCCTTCGGTCCCGTGCACCGCCACGCGAAAACGACGGCGCTCCGGTCGACGGTGGACGCGCGGCCCCTGGGCGGCATGGAGTCGCTCTTCGCGCCGCGCCGGTCGCTCGACACCTGCACGCTGCCGCCCATGGTGCACGCCTGCGCGGCCGTGCTCGACGCGGACCTCGACGCGGCGGCGCTGCGCGCGGGCCTCGAGCGCGCCGTGGGTCGCCACGGCATGCTGTCGCGGCGCATCGTCGGCGACGGCGCGCCGGAGCGCAGGGGCCCCCTCGGCGCGCCCGTGACGGCCGCCGTCTGGCGGAGCGTGCTCGCGCCCTTCGGCGACGACAACATGCGCGTCGGCCCGTCGACCTTCGCCTTCGCGCCCATGGCCGGCGCGACGGCGGCGAGCGTCGTCGCGGCCGCGCTCGAGGGCGACGGGTTCTCGCGGGAAGGGTGGCGCGCGGGCTTCGCGCGCGCGCTCGACGGCGGCCGCGGCGATGCCCTCTTCGCCGACGCAGATGGCGGCGACGCCTTCGCCTTCGACCTCGAGGCCGGCCCGCTCTGGCGCTGCAAGCTCTTCGAGGGCGGCGGCGAGAAGGCGATCGTCTTCGCGTTCGACCACTGCGTCAGCGATCAGCCGTCGGCGATGGCCGTCGTCAGCGACGTGCTGGACGGCGCCCGGGCCCACGTCGCCGGCGAGCGGTGCCCGGATGCGGACCTGGCGTCGCTGCCGACGCCGCCGTCGCTCGAGGACGACATCCTCGCGGGGGAGACGAGCCGCGGCTTCGTGTCCGAGGACCTCGGGGGCACGGGCCTCCTCGCGCTGGACAAAGGCTCGGCGCCCTACCTGTTCGCCAAGGCCTCGGAGCCGGCGAGCCTGGGCGCCCTCGCGGCGTCGCCGCACCTGCCGGCGCCGGACGAGCGCTGGGGCGACGGCGCCTACGCCGCGAAGGAGCGGAGAGCGGCGCTCGTCTTCGCGGGTCTGGACAAAGCGACGGTGGCGGCCCTGCGATCTTCCGCGCGGGCCGCGGGGACGACCGTGGGCTCGGCGCTCGCGGCGGCGGCCGCGCGCGCGTTCTCGCGGGTCGCGGCGGCGCCCGGAAACGTCAAGGTGCTCCAAAGTCTGGACATGCGGCGCTTCGCGGAAACTCCCGCGCCCAAAGACGTGCTCGCGTGCCACGCCGGGTCCATGGACCTCGTCCTCGACGCCCAGAGCGACTTCTGGGACGCCGCGCGCGCCGCGGGGTCCCAGCTCGCGGACTTCGAGGCGAAGGGCTTCGGGCCCCAGAGCGTGCGCGTCTTCGACTGGGCGACGGACGCGATGGAGATGACGCGCCTCGTGGAGCTCGAGGCCGACAACCCCTACAGCCTCGGGCGGGCCTACTGCTGCGGCGTGTCCAACGCGGGACTCTACGGCGGCGCCGACGGCGTGGCCCAGATGTACTACGCGACGTCGACGCGCTACGCCGGCGCGACGTTTCAAGCGTCGTGCGTCACGGTCGGCGGCGCGCTCAACTGCTGCTTCAACGCGCCGGAGCCCATCGCGACGCGCGCGAGCCTCGAGGCCTTCGCGAAGGCCTTCACCGAGGAGGCCGAGGCCGCGGCCTCCGGGTCGCCGCTCGCGCCGCCGGAGTTCGACCGCGCGCCGGACGACGGCGGGCCCAACGGTGTACTCGCCGTGCTCGGCGGCGCCGCGCTGGGCCTCGGTGCGCACGCGCCCGCCGTCGCGAACTTTGGCGCGGCGTTCCTGCGCGCCCAGGCGTCGGGCGCGGCGCTCGCGGCGCCCTTTGGGTTCTGGGTCTTCTTCGCGACGATGCACCCGCTCATCGGCGGCGCGGGCGTCGGGCTCGGCGAGCTCACCTGGGCCGTGCCCGGCTACGCGGGGCTCGACGCCGCGTCGCAGGACGCCGCGGGCCCGCCGCTCGCGTTCCTCGTCGCGTCGCTCGCGGCGTCGAACGCCATTTCCTCGACGCCTTTACTCCGCGCGGCGGCGTCGGGCCTCGCGAGCTTCGCGCTCTGCCTGACGATCAGCTCGGGCCTCGCCGGCACGTCCGGCGACAACGGGTCGCTGAACCTGGCCTTGGACGACGCGCCCGTCGCCGGCAAGGTGTTCCCGGGCGACGTCCGCGGCTGCCCGACCTACGCGGACGTGAGGCAAAAGTCCATGGACGGCTTCGACGTCACGAAATACACGGGCCGCTGGTACGAGCACGCCTACCACGACTGGACCCAGTTCGCGGAGGTCTACGACACGACCCTGGACATCGACCTCGCGGCCGACGGCAAGACGTGGGTCGACGACTTCGCCGTGAAAGGACCGTCGCCCGCCAAGGCGCCGCGGTCGTGGCGCGGGTCGCCCGTCGCCAACGGCGCGCACTACCCGCTCTACGGCACGCTGGACCCGTCCAAGCCGGGGGAGCTGCAGGAGAGCGGCTTCGGGAACGTGTTCCCGAACTACATCGTCGACGTCGTCCCGGACGGCCGGGGCGGCTACGGCGAGGCCATCCAGTTCCAGTGCCTGGAAGCCGGCGGCGTCCGCGTCTTCGAGGGCATCAACTTCCTCAGCCGGGACCGCGAGCTCGCGCCCGGGGCCCTCGACGGCTTCTTCGCGCGCGCGGGCAGGGCCGGCCTCGCCAAGTACGGCGCCGTGCCCGAGCAGATGCACGTCGTCGAGCACGCGCCCGCGGACTTCGCCGACGTCGACAACTGGTGGCAGGCCGCCTGGCGGGCCATCGGCGTCGACAAGCTCCTCGCGCTCATCGCCGCGGACATCTGAACTTTAAGGTTTACCTGGCTACTAGTAGCCAAAGGGCAACCACTTCACCCTGAAGTTCAAGCCCTTGGCCTGCGGCAAATTATGGGGTGCTAGGGGGCGCGGAGAGAACCACCCGACCAGCTCACCGCGCCGCTTGTTTCGCCGCGCCGCTCGATCGTAAACGCGCGCGAGAGAGCGTCCCAACCAGCTCGCCGCGCCGCTTGTGTCGCCGCGCCGCTTGATCGTGTAAACGCACCATGAAGATCGTCCACAGCGACGACCTCGAGGCCCGCGAGGGCGGCTCCTTGACGGTCGTCATGGAGGAGTCCGACGACCTGTGGGTGCTCTACAACCTCGTGGACCCCGACGACACCGTGCGCTGCGGCACGCTGCGCAAGGTGAACAAGTCCGACAAGGCCGGCGCCAAGGCCGCGACGGAGAAGCGGCGCGTGACGCTGAGCGTGCGCGCCATCGCGTCGGAGTACGACGGCATCGCCGACGTCGTCCGCGTGTCCGGCGTCAACGTCGCCGAGAACGACTACGTGAAGATGGGCGCGCACCACACGCTCGAGGTCGGCGTCCGCACCAAGGTGACCGTGACCAAGGGCGCCTGGGCGACGCACCAGCGCGAGGCCGTGAAGCGCGCCGCGGACGCGGCGGCGACCGCGGAGCTCGTCGCTTTGCTCATGGACGCGGACCGCGGCGAGGCGCGGCTCTACGTGCTGACGGAGGCCCTCGTGAAATCCGCCGCGGCCGTCGACGTCGCCATGCCGAAGAACACGAAGGCGGCCTACGGCGCCAAGTCGTCCGACGCCGCGAGGTTGAAGTTCCGGCGCAAGTGCCGCGAGGCGCTCGCGGCCAAGGTCAACTGGGACGCGGTCAAGTGCGTCGCGATCTGCGGCAACGGCGGCAAGGACTTCCTCGCGTGGCTGCGGTCCGATGGTCTAGGCACGGACCTCGGCGCCGCGGCGACGGACGCGGGCGTCCCGGCGCTGAAGAAAAACGTCGCCGGCGGCGCGTTCTGCGTCGCGGGGCCGCAGATCAAGGAGACGCACAAGGACGCCCTGCGCGTCCTCTTAAAAGAGCCCGCGGTCAAGAAGCGCGTCGCCGACACGTCCGTCGCGCGCTTCTGCGCCGCCCTGGACGCCTTCGGCGACGCGCAGCGCCGGGACGCGGACCGCTGCCTCTTCGGCTCCGTCGACGCCGCGACGCAGGCCGCGGAGCGGGCGGCGCTCGCGACGCTGCTCGTCCTCGACGAGAAGCTCCGAGGCGCCGCCGTCGACGTCGACGCGCGGCGGAAGCACCTCGCGCTCGTCGAGGCGGCCGCGGCGTCGGGCGCCGAGGTGTTCGCGTTCCCGTCGCGCCACGTCGCGGCCGAGGGGCTCCGGGACCTCGGCGGCGTCGCCTGCGTGCTGCGCTACCCCTGCCCGGACCTCCAGGACGTCGTCGACTTCCTCCCGGACGCGCCGGGCCCGCCGGCGGCGCCGTCGGAGGCCGGCACCGTCGTCGCGCCGCCGCCGCCGCCGGCCGCGGCGCACGTCGAGACGAAGAAGAAGGCGCCGCCGAAGCCGCCGGCGAAGAAGAAGGCGGCGCCCAAGCCCAAGGTCGTCCACGACGACGACTACGACGACGGCTACGACGACCGCTACGACGGCTACGATTACTAAAACGTCGATTCAAGGTCCCTAGCTGCCCACGAGCATCGTGTTGAGTCCGGCGACGGCATCCTCGAGGATGTCGCGCTGCCCGAGGCGGTAGAAGGCCGCGGACGCGGCGTGGCCGCCGTCGTCGTCGGCGGCGGCGGCGTCGGCTGCCGACGACGCCACGAAGGGCGCGAGGCGCGCCCTGAGCGTGGCGAGGAGGAGCTCGACGGCCTCGACGTCGACCTCGGGGACCGACGCGTCCGAGTCGGACGACGACGTCGCGTTTCGCGGGTCTGCGAGCGCGCGCCAGAGCCGGGCCGGGACCGCGCCGCCCCGGAGGAAGAAGAAGGGTCCGAGCCGCCGCGCGTCGCCGCCCTCGACGGCGACGTTGAGCACGAGGCCGACGCGGTCGTGCGGGTTCCCGCGCCGCGCGAAGCCGTGGGCGACGAGGAGCTCGTCGTTCGCCTTGTCGCCGTAGTTGTTGAAGACCTCCGCGCCCGCCGCGACGCCGGCCGCGCCGGCGACGAAGACGACGGCGTCGCCGCCGCCGCGCCACTCGATGTCCGTCCCGCCGGAGTGGTTCAGGAGGTCGAAGAACGGCAGCAGCACGCCCGGCGCGCCCGCCCGCGGCGCGCCCGCGTCGAGGAGCCGCGGCGGGAAGCGCCGCGACAGGTAGCAGCCGCGCGCCCACGCGAGGTCGGTGAGGGTGACGGAGTGGCGGGCGTCCAGCGCCGGCACGACGCGCGCGTGCTCCGCGGCGAGCGCGGCGGCGCCCGCGGCGACCGCCGCGCCGACGTCGGTGCCCGCGAGCGCCTCCCGGTCGGCCTCGGACCAGCTCGCGCAGTCGGGGGCGACCGCGGGGAGCGACGCGAGGTAGGGGTGCGACGCGTGCGAGCGGTCCCGCCGGCCCGACGCCATGTCCAGCCACAGCACGAACTCGGGCGACGGCGGCGGCGAGAGGCGCGCGCACGCGACACCGACGGCCGCGGCGGCGCTCGCGCCGACGCTCAGCGCGACGGACGCCGGCACGCTCGCGATCACGCCCCCCGGTGCGACGCCGCCCTCGCCGCTGAACACGCCCGCGCCGTCCGCGGACACGCCCACGCGCAGCGCACCAAGACCCGTGGCGCCAGACGCCGTCAGCCAGGCGCACATGCGAGCGACGCGCGCCAGGCGCTCTTCGCTGCCATCGTCGTCGGCGTCGGACCGCTTCCGCTTGGGAACTGTGCGGTCACCATCGTCGTCGGCGTCGGACCGGGCAGGTGCCTTTTCCATTGCGTGCAGCGGATGAGTCAAGCTTGAACTTCAAGTTGAAGACTTCCTGATATCATGTTGCATCGTCGGAGGCGTCGCCGACTCGGCTTAAGGCGTCGTCGGGTGTAAGAGAGGTATGGAAATAGTTGCAAAATAGTTTGTCCCGGCCGGCGAAATACGTTACGCTACGACGCGTGCGATTACGAACCGGCGCCTAGCGCGACGCGACGGCGTTCCTCTCGGCGATGAGCTTCCGCGACGTCGCGTGGACGTCGTCGACGAAGGCGTTGACGAGGCCCTGGTCCTCCTTGCCCATGAGGCCCTCGCCGAGGTTGGCGATGAGCTTGTCCGGGCCCAGCGCGCGGAGCATGGCCTCGAGCTCGTCGTGGAGCTTCGCCTCCGAGGACCCGTCCGCGAGGAGGAGCTTCGGGTCGAGGTTGCCCTGGAGCACCTGGCCGGCGCCCAGGGACGACCGCGACGCGGCGCGGTCCGCCGCCGTGTCGAGGGTGATGACGTCGTAGCCGAAGCTCTGCAACTTCGCGTTGACGCCCGCGGGGTCCTCGACGCCGCGCGCGAAGACGAGCAGCGGCACGTCCGGGTGCCGCGCCTTGAGCTTCGTCGCCAGGCTCTCGAGGTGGGGTAGGGCCAGCACCTCGAAGTCGTGGCGGCCCAGCGTCATGCCCATGGCCTCGAAGACCTGGAGCGCGTGCGCGCCCGCGTCCACCTGCGCGGACATGTACTCGACCACGAGGTCCGTGTAGGCCTCGAGCATGGCGTGCGTCTCGTCCGGGTTCGCCCGGGCGAAGTCGATGCCCGGCGGCTGGTTCCGGCTCGAGCCGCCCACGGTGTAGAAGAGGAGCGTCCACGGCGCAGCGGAGAAGCCGAGGAGCGTGCGATCCAAGTCCTCCGCGAGCTGCGCGGACCGGATCTCCGACACGGCGCGCGTCACGTGGTTGAGCCGCTTCGCCACGAGCGCCGCCGGGTCCGCGGCCGCCTTCTTCGCCGCCTCGAGGAGCGCGGGGCCCGTGGTCAGCGGCTCGGGGACGACGATGCCCCTGCCGCCGGGCATCTCGACGCGGACGTCCAGCGCCTGGGGCACGACGAGGATGTCGCTGAAGAGGATGGCCGCGTCGACGCCGTAGCGCCGCAGGGGCTGGAGCGTCACCTCGGCGACGTCCAGCGGGTCGTCGAGGAGCTGGAGGAAGTGCTTGCCCGTCTTTTCCTTGTAGGCGTTGTACTCCGCCATGTGGCGGCCCGCCTGGCGGAAGAGCCAGACCGGCGCCTCCTCGACGGCCTCGCCCCTGGCGAGGCGCAGCAGGAGGTCATTCTTCGGCGGCGCGAGGGCCAGCGCCGCGGGCAAAAGCAGGACTGCGGCGAGCATCATATGCATAAGCTCCAGCTCTCCTGATCATCGATCTTCAAGCAGTGGCTGCTACTGCAAGCGATGCGCCCGGCCTGGCGCGCGCCCGGGCCATCGGTCGGGTATGTCGGTGGCTAGTCCGACGCTGGAAGCCTCGGCTTCGGGTCGTGAAGGCATGTAAGCGTCGTTAGCCACGGCGCGCGCGCGGGCGCGAGACGACCGCGCGCGCGATTCGCACCGGCCGCAACTCGTCCTTCGGAGCGCACAGCTGCTGCGAGACGGAAGCGAGCGCCGTCTGGCACTTCTCGCATGTGTAGGCGGTTGCCCAGTGAGGATCCCTCGCTTGAAGGTCATGTTGCCTTCAATGTCTTTGCGAGAGCTTCTTGCCGCAAGCGATGGCGCGAGAGACCAAGCACGACGAGGTAGCAGTAGATGACGACTCGTCCGACGGCGACGAGCCGTGCCTCGCCTACATGTTCGACGGCGCCGCGGCGACGGAGGAGCGGACGCTCCAGCTCACAAAAGACATCGCCGTGCGCTACTACTGCCTCGAGGCGAGCGAGGACGCGGCGAAGACCGCGCACATCAGCGGCCACTCGGCCTGGCCCGCGGCGGCGACGCTCGCGAAACGCGTCGTCGAGGACTGGGACCTCCTGCCGCATCGCTCGGCCCTCGAGCTCGGCTGCGGCTGCGGCGTCGTCGGCCTCGCGTGCGCGGCGCTGGGATGCCAAAGGGTGGAGTTCACGGACCGCGACGAGGGCGCGCTGAAGCTCGCGCGCCGCGCCGTCGAGCTCCAGGGCTTTTCCGGGTGCACGGCGGCGCGGCGGAGCTGGGGCGCGGCCGAGTTCGCCGGCGAAAGGTTCGACCTCGTCGTCGGGAGCGATTTGATCTACGACCCGGGCGTCGTGGGCCCGCTCGTTGCGGCGGCGGCCGCGGCGCTCGCGGACGGCGGCTGCTTCCTGCTCTCGCAGAGCTTCGCGCTCGGCGACGAGTCGACGGCGGCGCTCAAAGGGGCCTGCGCGGCGCGGGGCCTCCGCCTCGAGCTCGTGGAAGAAGACGGCGCCGCGACGTTCTGGCGCGCGCGGCGGCGCGAGAGCGTGTCCGCCATCGCCGCGCGGTGCCCGGCCTTCGAGCTCGCGCCGCTGCGCTTCCTCGTCTGCTGGCGGGGCGTCCTCGCGCTCGCCTTCGAGGGCTGGCCGCTGCCCGTCGAACGGCTGAAGCGGAATTTGGACGGCGCGCTCGGCGACGCGCTCCCGGCGGAGAACCCGGGCTCGAAGTGGCCCAAGGTCTCCCTCGCCGCCGTCGTCGACGGCGCGGCGCCGCTGTCGCCGGCGGACTACGAGGCCCTCGACGGCGTCCTCCGGAGCCACGAGCTCCCGAACTCGCGCTGGGCAGTAGAAGCGCTGGCGATGACGCTCTACGCGCAGCCGTCGCACGAGTTCGTCCTCGACGCGAAGCGCATCGCCCTCGGCCTGCCGGGCCGCGACGCCGCCGCCGTCTCGGAGGCCGCGCGTTCGTCGGCTGCCGCGGTCGTCGCCGAGACAGCGGAGCCGTCCTACGTCGACCAGGCGAACCTCCCCGGCGGCGCGCCGGAGACGTACCGCGCCGTCGACCGCGGCGCGTCGCTCGTCGCCTTCCTCGACGACGCGGCGCTGCGCGCGGCCGTCGACGCGCTCCGCGTCAAAGTCGACGCCGCGTTCCCGGGTCGCTACGCGTGGTTCGACGCGGACGCGCGCCACTGCACGCTCCGGGCGCTGGCGTAATGTGGTCCCGTGGCAAGCTTTTCCCGCCGTGGACTCTCGGCACACTCGCTCGAATCGCAAAGTATACACAAGCGCGCGCCGACGGAGAGTCCTCCCGACGGCGCGCGACCCTCCAAACTCACCCGAGGGCGTTGAGGATGCCGCGGAGGCCCGGCGCGTAGTCGCGGGCCGTCGCCCAGTAGGCGTTGCCCTGGAGCACGTGATTCACGTCCGCAACGACGAACTTGTAGTCGTCTTCCCGGACGGGCTCGCCGTCGCCGTCGACGTTGAGGTGGCGCGCGCTCAGCGACGTCTCGAAGGTGTAGGTCTGGGGGAAGTAGGCCGGGTCGTCGCGGTCCTCGAAGACGAAGTCGAGCTGCACCGTGCAGCCGGACTCGCCCAGGATGCGCTGCTGCGTCGACTGCGAGTAGAGGAAGTCGTCGGCCTCGCGGCCGAGGACGACGAGGCAGTCGCCGAGCTCGAGGCGGTTGAGGTCGAGGTCCTTGGCCCGCGCCCGGTCCGGGCCCAGCACGAGCTTCACGTTCGAGAGCCGCGCGGCGCCGCGCGCCTCGCGGAAGAAATTACCAGAAGCGGACCGCTGCCGCACGCGGTCCACCTCGCCGTGGAGCTCGCCGTCGACGAGGCCCGCCTGGAGCAGCGCGTCGACGCCGATGCCGCCGTCCTCGTCCCTCACCAGGGCCTTGCTCACGTGCTGGGCGGCGACGGTGGCGCCCTCGATGACCGTCTCGGGACTGCTCCGCAGCGCGTGCTGGAACACGAAATCGGTCACGTTCGGTCGCAGCATGCTGTCGACGAGGCGGCGCGCGAAGGCCATGATTGCGTGCTTCGGCGGGCGGTGCTTGTGTCGTGCTTCGGCGGGCAGCGCTTGTGTCGTGTCCTCGTCAGAGCGGTAGCTCGTGCGGGCCAGCGTTGAGCGGCAACTCGAACTTCAATCCACCCGTGTTAACACACCTACATCCGCTCCTCGGTGCCCGGTTCGAGCCTCGCGTCGTCATCCGGCGCCACGACGTCGAGCCGCGCGGCGGCCACGTCCACGCGCCAGTCGCTGGAGCCGCCGCGCGCCGCCGACCCCGGGACGACGTCCAGCACGACCGGCGGCTTCGTCACCGCGAACCAGCCTACCAAGGGAACGAGTCGCCATCACCCGAAATCTCTCTAAGATCGTCACTGCCGCGGGACGCCGGAACCAGCCGTCCGTGTTCGAGCAGTTGATGAAGGTCGTCCCGCCGAGGACCGCGGTCCCGGGCCGGTTGTGCTGGTGGCCGAAGACGTGGTAGGCCGGCTTGAACTCGTCGACGAGCCGCGCGACGCGGCGGCTGCCCCGGCCGCCGTCCAACACGCCGACCGGCGGCCCGTGGGTGCAGAGCACGTCGACGGCCTTGCACGCGTGGAACTTTGCGAAATTCGCGCAGAGCGCGTCGCCGTGCGTCTTGCCCTGGAAGGCGCTGTTGCGGCTCCGCGCCGTGTTCGGGTTCGAGTAGGGCGACAGGAAGAGCCGCGCGCCGCCGACGTCGACGCCGCCGTGCGCCACGTACTCGACGCGCGGTCCCAAGAGCTCGGCGACGCGCGCCGGCGACGACGCCTCGAGCGTCCGGTCGTGGTTGCCGCCCGTGACCAGCACCCTTCCGTGGTCCTGCGCCGCGAGCCAAACCCCCAAACGCCGGAGCTGGGCCTCGCCGTCGCCGCGCGTCACGTCGGCGCGGAGCACGTCGCCGCAGTGGACGAGCGCGTCGCCGGGAGGGACCCGGAGCGCGTCGTGGTACGTGTGCGTGTCGGAGACGACGCAGAGCCGCACGGCGCCGGCGGGCTTCGCCGGCAGGTCCGCCGCGCGCACGACCGCCGCGCCGTCGCGCACGTAGACGACCTGCTCCTGGAGCAGGTCGCGCAGCCAGTACCGCAGGAAGAAGCGCCGCGCCGCCGTGTGGGCCAGCCAGAACTTCTTCAGGTAGGCGGCGTAGAACTCCGACGGCAGCGATTGCACGCGCGCGGACACGCGCGCGGCGCTCAGCAGCATTTTTGTCGCGAGGATGCCTCAATCGCGGCGCTCCTCCCGGTCGCGACGAAAAGCCACGTCGGAAGCCTCAAATCATTGCTGCTCCACGCCGCGACGAAGGCCGAGGATGGCCATGTCATCGAGCCGAGACTGCAACGAGCAGCACCGTTGGTTCAACCGTTGGTTCAACATGGGAGTTTTTCAGTGCCGCCGGAGCATGGCCAGGCGGCTTCGGTAGGTTTCTCGAGCAACAACGATGCGGCGGGGGTCGCGCGTGGGGTCGCGCGTCGGCGGGATGGACGGCGGCCTCATCGGCGTCGACGTCGACGGCGACGGCGTCACCGATTTCACGCTGCCGGTAACACCATCGATGGACCCGGACCACGAGCCCTTCGCCCTCGTGGACCTGTTCATGTCGCCGCACCGGCCGCTCGTGCCCGTCTGGGTGAACAACGTCGTGAGCATCACCGTCTACGCCGGCGCGCTCGCGCTCTTCTTCCTCGTGCTCCTGCAGACCGGTTCCGAGACGTACCGCGAGACGGAGATCTCGCAGCACGTCATGACCGGCGGCGGCCCCGGGAGCCGCACGGGCAAGCGCGACGTCGAGTGCCGGTGCCTGAGCAAGCTGACGGCGTCCCTGGACCTCGAGGACCCCGTGCTCGCCGACGGCGGCTCCTGGCGCGTCGTCAGCGACATCGCTCTGCCGAGCGCCGCGAACTGCGAGCGCCAGTTCGCGGACCTGCCCGTGGAGGACGCGCACGTCGTCGCCTACGACGGCGCGCGGGGCGACGCCTACGGCTTCTGCTACAGCGCGGCGGCGAACCGCACGTGGGCGCCGCTCGCGCGGACCGCGGCGGGGCCCTGCCGCGACGCGCTCGACGGGACGACGCCGTCCGCGGACGTGTCGAACATGATCGTCGTCAAGATGCGCGTCTGCCCCCAGGGCGGCCGGCGGCTCCAGCCGGGGTCGGGCAACGGGCCCACTGGCCAGGGCCAGGGCCAGGGCCAGGGCCAGGGCCAGGGCGCGCCGGGCGGCGGCGGCGGCGGCGGCTGCTACGACAACGCGACCGCGGCCGTCGCGGCCTGGAACGACGCGCGCGTCTTCGCGTCGTTCTGCCGCGAGTTCGAGGACCACCCGCCCTACATCTGCTCCTGGTACCGCTACTACGGCTACGCGCGCGTGCTGTCCATCGCCCACGGGTCCGTCGACTTCCTCCTCGTGCTCGTCGCCCTCGTCACGTCCTTCGCCGCCTGCGCGATCGGCGAGGGCGTCCACTCGAAGCGGAAGGGGGTCGGCCGCGTGGTCACGACGCTCGTCACGGGCCGGCGGCCGTCCAAGGTCGAGGCCATGGCGGACCCGGAGCCGCCGCGGACGGCCCAGCCGGGCGGCGACCTCGCCGTCACCGTGGCGCAGCTCCGGCGCGACCTCGACGAGACGCGGCGGCTCCTCGACGAGGTCCGCCGGGACCCGCGCCTCGCGGCCGCGGCGCTGCCGCCGATCAAGGGGCGGCCCCTCGCGGAGACCAGGGAGGGCCAGGACGCCGAGCTCAGCGACGCCCTCGCGAGCTTCTGCCCGCTGCCGCCGTCCGCGGTCGACCCCGCGTAATTGTTGGGCGGCAAGGGCGGCTGCGATCGGAATGCTTTTTTAGTACTCGGAGTCGCGCGCGCTGCGCCAGAACGTGAGCACGTGCACGAAGACGTCGTCGGGGATGCGGGGGTCGAGGAAGAGCCGGGCTTGCGCGCGCTCGCGGCACGGGGCCGTGCGGAAGTGCGTCGGCAGCTCGCGGCGGAGGGCGAGGAGCTGGTTTCGCGGCGCGGCGACGTACGCGGACCAGCCGCCGGCCGCGCGGACGTCCGCGAGGAACGCGGCCACGTCCGGGCAGTCGTCGAGGTGCGCGTCGGCCTCGGGATCGTTGCCGCTGTCGTCACGCGCGTCGAGCGACGCGCCGCGGCTGAGGAGCAGCTTGCACATTTTGACGACGTCTACGGCGTACGGGCTGCTGGCGACACAGTGGAGCGCGGTACTCGAATAGTGACTGCGCGCATCGACGTGAGCGCCGGCGTCCAGCAGGAGGACCGCAGCTTCGCATCGGCCGAAGTCAGCGGCGACGTGCAGCGGCATCCACCTCCCGATGCCCATCACCGCTTGCACTTCCGCGCCGTTCTCAAGGAGCCATCGAACAACCGAACGGTACCCAAGCTCACATGCGCGATGCAGGCGCGTGGCCGAATCATAATCAGGATCGAAGTCATTGATGTCGCCGCCAGAGCGGACCCACGCCTGCGCTTCGTCGAGAAAGGCCTGTTCCTCGGAGCTGACCATCGTCTTCGCGTAGGCGACGTCGTCGTCCGAGTCCGCGCCGCCGCCGACGTCGGCGAGGGCGGCCGCGGGCCGGCTCGGCGCGCCGCCGTCCACCGCGGGCGGCGCGCCGCCGCGGCTCTTCTTCGCGCGGCGGCGCCGCCGCCGCGCGGAGCTGACCATCGTCTCGACCCGGGCTTCTAAAAGCGCGCATTGAAGCATCAATAAACAGTTTCCTTGCCCCGACCGAGGTGGCAGCCGCTGGAGCGCGGCGCCGCCCTTCTCTTCCGGCAGGATGGGGGCCTCCTCCGCGGAGACGACCCGGCGGCGGCTGGACGGCTGGCGCTCTGGACCGCCAAGGACGAGGCCGCGTGCGACGCGTGGCGCGAGGCCAAGGCCAAGAAGTACGAGGCCGGCGACGAGAAGCTTCTAGCCAAGTACGCCGACCGCGGCGCCTTCGACGCCTGGCTCGACAAGCAGTGCCTGTCCACGAAGAACCAGGCGCTGTGGAAGCGGACCAAGGCCGCGAAGCGCGCCGCGGGCGCGGACGCGTCGAGCCCGCCGCCGCCCGACGAGAAGCCCAAGCTCGACGCCAAGATCGCGCGGAAGCTCCTCGACGGCTGCCTCGCGGCCATCACCGTGCCCGCGACGAAGGAGAAGCTCGTCAAGATCGTCGAGGACATCGAGGGTACGGGCGACGAGTCGCAAAAGGGCATGCTCCGCATGGTCAAGCTCATGCCCGTCGTCTCCGAGATCCTCGCGCCCGTGCTCGACGACCACGGCTACGCCAAGGACGACCTCATGACCGTCGCCATGCAGCTCCAGGGCTTCGCGGCCGAGGACCCGACCATCGGCGTCGACACGATGAAGCTCATCAAGGCCGTCCAGGGCGACCTCTCCGACTTCGTCTAGGCGACTTTAAAAAGGTTTGCTCATCAGGGCCGTCCAGGGCGACCTCTCCGACTTCGTCTAGGCGACTCTAGGAAAAAACGGTTAGTCCCGGCCGAAGAACGACGCGAGCGCGGCCTTGGCCTTCTTGAGCAGCTTCCGCGCGCCCTTCTTCCGCTTCTTCGGCGAGTCGAGGCCGTCGAAGAGCGCGAACGCGGGTTTGTAGCCCGCGCAGTCGACGTCCGGCGCGTCCGCGTCGACGCAGACCGCGGGCGTCTCGACCGTCGCCGCGTAGACGCACGTCGACGGCTCGTCGACGTCCAGGATGCCCGTCTCGGCGCCGCAGACGAGGGTCACGGCGAGGGACTGGCTCGGCCCGTTCCAGCAGTGCTCGCCGTGCTCGTAGACGAGCGTCGCGGTCACGTTGTTCGCGTGTTTCGTCGACCGCTGGTAGTCGCCGAGGCGCGTCGACCCCTGCTTGGCGCCCTTGAAGAAGCAGACCTCGTACTTGTAGCCCGAGAACTTCTTCGAGATGCACGTCTCGCGCAGCGGCCACAGCGCGGAATCGCGCCCGTAGCGGTCGTCGTCGCCGAGCGCGTCGCGCGCCTTGTCGAGGCGCCGCTCCTTCCGTCGCTGCTCCTCCTCGAGGTCCCGGAGCGCGCCCTCGAGCTTCTTCAACGCCTTCTTCTGCGCGGCGCTGACGTAGCCCTTGTCCGGGTCCGCGTGGCCGTCGACGTCGAGCCGCGGGTCCGCCGGCTCGTAGCTCTTCCCGTAGTCGAAGTCGTCGTCGTCGTAGCGCCGGCTCTTGTAGTCGTCGTCGGGGAAGACGTCGTCGGGGATGTCGCCGTACTCGTCGTCGGGGAAGTCCTCGTCGTCGAGGCCCGCGAACGAGTTCGACCCGTAGTCGCCGTCGCCGTAGTCGTCCCTGAAGTCGTAGTCGTCGCCGTAGGCGTCGTAGTCCTCGCCGCCGCCGTCGAGCTCCACGGTCTGCTCGTACTCCGGCGCGGGCTCGTCGAGCGCCGCGTCGGCGTCCGCGTCGGCGTCCGCGTCGGGCCGCTCGGGCTCCGCCTCGGAGTCTGCCGCGGCGTCCGCCTCGACGGCCTCCGTCCCGGGCTCGGGCGCGGCCTCCGATTCCGCTTCGGCCTCGACGGCCTCCGCCTCGGCGCCCTCCGCCTCGGCGCCCTCCGCCTCGACGCCCTCCGCCTCGACGGCGTCGGCATCGGGCTCGGGCGCGGCCTCCGATTCCGGTTCGGCCCCGACGGCCTCCGCCTCGGCGCCCGCCGCCTCGGCGCCCTCCGGCTCCGGCTCGGCGGCCTCGTCGGCGGCCTCGGCCTCGAGGGCCTCGGCCTCGGTGGCGGGCTCGTCGGCCGCCGGCTCGGCCTCCGCCTCGAGCGCGCCGAGGCCCCCCAGGACCTGGCGCACGGCGCCCGCGCAGGCGGCCTCGGAGTAGGTGCCCCGCTCGACGATGCGGCTGTAGAGGTCGCCGCCGCTGCAGAGCTCGAGGACGAGGACGCACTTGGGACCTCCCGCGTCGCACTCGAAGGCCTCGAGGAGCCGCACGACGTGGGCCGTCGCGCACTCGCGGCCGACGCGGCGCATGAGCTCGAACTCGCGGCAGGCGACGCGCTTCTCCTTGGACGTGCGGAACGGCAGCGCCTTGCCCGCGCGCCGCGCGCCGTCCTCGCCCGCGACGAGGCGCACGACGCCCTGCGCGCCGCGGCCCAGCACCGCGCCGAAGCGGTAGCCGGACCCGACGCGCGCCGTCGCCGCGCAGGACGACACCGCGGCGACGAAGGCGTCGCGCGCCGCCGCCGCGGGGAAGCGCAGGTGCGCCGCGGCGTCGGCCGCGACGACGGCCGCGGCGAACCCTCCGCCGAAGAGCCGCCAGCCGTCCGCGCGCGCGGCGCAGGCCCCGCCGATGCGGAAGTCGCGGAGCACGCGGACGGCGCTCTCGGCGCCGGTCACGGGCGCCTCGACGCGCACGCGGCCCTGGCGCACGCGCACGACCGCCGGCAGCCACTCGCCGACGTAGGACTCGAGCAGGCCCGCCTCGCCCTGCCACCACTCGACGTCGTCCGGCGCAAAGTCCGCGAAGCGGTGGAAGCGAGCGGACATGGTGGTTGTCGTTGCAGGTCGCTAGCGTGGATTACGAGAGCGTGCGCCGCGCATTGCGCGCGCTCATTGCAATACTGCTCAGAGCTTCACAGCAACATGCTCTGGAATGCATGATCAACGTGGGCTAAATGTCACGCGCGCGGGCGCTCGTGCTTTGTCGCTGCTCTAGATCTGGAGAGTGCGGTGCAAAGGCTCCATGGGCGCGAAAGAAGCTTGGCCTCCCAGTCTATGATCTTCTTAATATTGCACTCAGATTTATTTCCAGGCGCAAGGGCCTCCTGCGTTGTAAATGAACTTGGCCCAGTCCGGGCACGACTGAAGACCTGAGTCAACGAACGCGTCCCCCATATCAGACACCTGCGACGCGTCCCAGGCGTCGATGTCCTGGCTGAAGGCGGAGGCGTTTTTGAACATACTGTTCATGTTGCCATTCTTCGACACGTCCCAGTCGCCGATGTCCTGATTGAAAGCAACGGCGTTAATAAACATCCAGCGCATGTCCGCCGCCTTTGCCACATCCCAGGCGCCAATGGGCTGATTGAAAGCGACGGCAGTGTTCAACATATCTTGTGTATAAAACACCTTCGACACGTCCCAGTCGCCGATGGGTTGGTTGAAGGCGGCGGCGGGTCCAAACGTCCCGTATGTTCTCGTCACCTTCGACGTGTCCCAGTCGCTGATGTCCGCGTTGAAGGCGGAGGCGCCTCGGAACAGGGAGTCGATGTCGGTCACCTTCGACACATCCCAACCTTTGATGTTCGCGTTGAAGGCGGACTTCAACGCGTTGTTGAAGAACGTCGCGGACATACGGGTCCAGCTCCCATAAACAGAAGCAACATCGTCGGAAATCCGGAAAAGTACATTTACGGCCGCTACGACGCCGGGGACGCCTGGTCTTACCCCGGGGACGCAGAGCCGAAGCCAGAGGCGTCGACGGACGCCATTTGCGCCGTCGGCCCCGGCCCCAGTCGGTCGGCCGGCCGGCCGGCCGTCGTCGTCGTCGTCGTCGTCGTCGTCGTCGTCACGCGCGCGCGCGTGGAGATTATAGCGGAGAGCAAGTCCATGGCTTCCTCGGACATGTTCTAGACCACCTCCATGAAGCCGCGCAGCGCCCAAGCACCGGTTTTGGTCTGGAGCGCCTCCTTGCCGCGCGAAGCGCGGGAGAAAAAATTCGGCGGGATCCAGCGCGCGTAGCGGTCCAGAACCGGCGCAGCTGCACGTGTCGCTCGCGCACGGCGTGCAAGCGATCGCGCCCTCGCCGGAAAATGAGGCCGCTCCGCGCAGCCGCCGCCGCCGCAGACGCCGCTGCCACAGAGTCGCCGCACCCGCCCCGCGCGCAGCGCGGGAGAAAATTTCGACTTCGTCGCTGGCCAGAGCGCAGAAACGACCCTCGCGAATGGGTGTGAGGTCAGGCACGCAGCGCAGCAAGTCCACCGCGCGCAGCGCGCTGAGATGGTAGCTCCATCCTCTCAACTACGCTGTGGTATTTTTCGTCCGCACACCGTCGCCGGGGGTAAAAAAAAAGTACGGTGGTCGATTCGGGCATGGGGCGCCGCCCGAAGCCCAAAACCGGTACCGTACCAAAAATCGGCGTCTAGGAACCCTCTGCGGACGCTGGATTCGCCCCCGCATAGAGGTCCTACGTATAATCCGTATAGCGCACGCGTTTATGGGAGCTGGACCCATACGCGTCACCGACGACACGTCCCAGTCGCCGATGGGTCTGTTGAAGGTGGGAGCGTCCCAGAACGTGCTGCTCATGGTTGTCACCTTGGACGTGTCCCAGTCGCCAATGTCCGCGTTGAAGGCGGCGGCGTCCTTGAACGTTCCGTAAAGGGTCGTCACCGACGACGTGTCCCAGCCTCCGATGGGCGCGTTAAAGGTGGAGGCTTCGTAGAACGCGCTGTCCATGGTCGTCACCTTGGACGTGTCCCAGTTGCCGATGTCCTGGTCGAAAGCGGCGGCGTCGCGGAACGCGTAGCGCAAGTTCGTCACCTTCGACGTGTCCCAGGCGCCGACGTCCTGGTTGAAGGTGGCCGCGTATCCGAAGGTTCGTGTCATGTCCGTCACCTTAGACGTGTCCCAATCGCCGATGTCCGCGTTGAACGTCTCGTCCGTGCTTGTACAGTCCGCCCAGTCAGCGCGCCCGTCCATCCAGCCCTGCCGCACGCAAAACTGTAGGGACATGTCCGTGACCTCCGACGTGTCCCATTCGCTGATGTGCGTGTATTTGGCCTCCGCGCTCGTCGAATTGTCGAGCCACTCGCCGACCGCGGTCCTGAGGTCGTCGTCCGTCGGAGAGTACGTCGCGTCGATGCCGTCGCACGTCGCGCTGGCCGGGCACTCGAGGCACTCGTTGTCGTCGACGTACTTGAGGTCGTCGCACTCCGTCGCGTTGGCGCCGTCGCACGTGAAGCCGGTCGGGCACTCGAGGCACTCGTTGTTGGGTCAACTTCCCAATAAGCGAGGCAGACCGGTCGTTAATCGGGAAAAGTACAATTACGGTCGCTACGACGCCGGGGACGCCTGGTATTACCCCGGGGACGCAGGGGCCGAAGCCGGAGGCGCCAATGGACGCCATTTGCGCCGTCGGCCCCGGCCCCGGTCGGTCGGCCGGCCGGCCGGTCGTCGTCGTCGTCGTCGTCGTCGTCGTCGTCGTCGTCGTCGTCGCGCGCGCGCGCGTGGTTCCTAGAGGCAGTTGAGGATGCGCTCGTGCGTGTCGATCGACACGGTGTACTTGCCCTTCTTCTTCGTCGTGAACTTGAGGTTCTGGAGGCGGACGGTCCCCGCGACGTGGAGCAGGTGCGGCGCGGCGAGGAGCGTGTAGGTGCGCTCGGAGCCCGCCCGCAGCTGGTACCACTTGATGGGCACGACGAGCCAGCCCGCCTCGAACTGGTCCGTGGCGTGGACCATGTTCTCCGGCACGGCGAAGGCCGCGCCCGTCGGCTTGCAGAGCCAGTACGCGTCGTCCTTGTAGGTCGGGTCGTCCTTGGCGGGCCGCACCGCGAGGAGCTCCTCCTTGTCGATGATCGCCGCCCAG